CTTTTCCTGTGCATGACACCCAGTGACGCAGCCATCGCTGAAGCTGACTGTACTTTTCAGGGTGTTTTCTCACATCTATCTAAAAAAAAAAATCTACTGTTAATATTTTACTTAGTATTTTGAGAAATGGAATTCAGGACAATGTGGCTGTCCTCCTAAATCCTAGCATTCCAGTGTCATCTTCATTTATCTTCTTTTTTCCAGATCTCTTTGATGTGAATACAGAATTTCATGTGGCTGAAATCACAGCCTTAATTCCTCTTTTGGGGGTGAAATGGCTCCATACTACCTCATTCCCATTGCAATTGTGATGTTGATCATGGTAGCACCATGACTTTCTCAAATCTGTAGGTTACTTGAAATCTTAGGTTATCTCCCATTGTCTTTTTTCATTCCAGCACTGAGTTAAACATAATATATTGTCCTTGAAAAGCTTTTCTTCTTGTGGATTACTTTCTCTTTCCATTAATTTCTCAGGAGTCAAATTACTGGGTCAAGAAGCATGGTGCTTGTTGGCTCTTTCATCTGGGATAAGTCGTGTAGGGTGCTCTGACTTGGGTACAAAACTAAACACTTCTCTGTGTGTTTGCGTGCCCTGCAGGTTACTGAGGAGACGAGCCTCATCCTACAGACGCTCGGATACACGTGCACGTGTCGAGGCATAATCAACGTGAAAGGAAAGGGAGACCTGAAGACGTACTTTGTAAACACAGAGATGTCACGGTCCCTTTCCCAGACCAACATGGCATCCTGAAGAGTCGTCCTCATGTGGCAAGAACACTGTACTTTTTGGAAAGTACCACGCACTTTCCGACTACACCTTTCATCCCTCGTTTCGATGTGCGCGCTCTGTCCCATCCTCCGGAGCCTTTGCAGACTAGTTCCTGTGACCCAGTGGCATACCGTTCGGTGTCTGACCTGCGCCCAGATCCTTCTGCCACTTGCACTGTGCTTACTCCTGAGCAAAAGGAGAATGGAGCGTGTCCTAGAAGGAGAGCATTCGCAGAACTGACAAAGGGGAGAGGTGAAGCAAACACAAATTCTTAAGGCAATAAAATGGGGGGTGTATATTATCTTCTGGTGCATGTTCTTTTCTGGAAAATACGGTAGCTCGCCAATGCATCCGCTAGTCTGATATCCAAACACACAGTATTTGTGAATAAGTTGATTTGGTTGCCCCACATGGAGTCTGTGCCCCCCCACCTTGTGTCTCATCGCCAGTGGCTACCGGTGGCTCCCAGCTGGGACCCGGGGCTTGTCACCTTGCTCTGTTGTGTCTCGTGCCAGCAGCACATTGCCATCCACCACCAGAGTTAGTCCTGACCACCTAGGACAGTTTTGTATCAAACTCGTCTGATGTTTTAACGCCATTTGTCTTTTGTAAGGTTAATTCATTAAAACTTTTATGTACTTTGGTTTCTAGTGCCCGTATCTTTTATTTTCCTTTCTCCTTTCTGCTGTGGTTTGCTCTACAATTAAAGTCTGCTTTCCATCATTCTCCTTTTGGCACACTTGTTTCAGAAAGAGCCCTCCAGAAGTTATCACTGAGGTACTCTTGAGTCACTCAATTAGGGACAAAGCTGATGATGCAGATAATTAATGTCACAGTTCCCTGGGAGGAAGGAAAGAACGCTTGATGTTTCTAATGGCTTCTTTTGCATTTTGGCATCTCTTGAGAACAGTCTTGGGAAAAAATATTTTAACAGTAAAAAAATTCTGTGCAAACTCCAGAGTTCCTCTGTCCCTGACACGCCTGCCTACAATAATGCTTAGAACTAGCAGACTAGGACTCCCTACAAATACTTTGGAACCAGCTGCGTAAGTCAGGTGTCTCACCAGTCTGAGCTGACCCAGGGGAGCTGCCCATGAGGCTGAGGAGGCTGAGAAGATACCAGGATAGTGTCTGTGCTTTTGTCAAGACAGAATACGTGGAAAACTTTTCCTTGTAAATCCAACTTTAAGGTTGTTTGATGTTTTTCCTTTTGATGTAAAGAAATTACATTTTACCAAATGATGAAATATAGAAATCTACTGTTGTGGAAAAATCCATAATCTACTGGTTAAAAGCAAAACTGCAGGCAGTGGTCTGATGGGGCAAACCTGGCTTCTTTTTAAGCTCAGGACAAGCGTGTGTGGGAGGCAGAGGACTTTGCAGAGCGGTTCGTTAGCGAGAGCTCAGACAGGAAGCACAGGTCTTCGGCCTGACTTGGAGGCCGTGCTAGCTGTGTGATTGGAACACATCTCTTCGTTCCTCTTAGGAGTGCTTTCCTCCTTGCGGGTTCATGGGATTGGACGGTGATTGAATGACCCTGAAAGAGCCTGGCTGGTGCCCGGGCTTGCTCCGGCCAGCCTGTTCCCAGCAGGCACCTGGGAGCTGCGCCAGGACATTGACTCACAGCTGTCCTCCACCACCCAAGTGTGAATGCGGCAGGACTTTTTCAATTTTCTGCCTCAATCAGGAGGTTTTTTGAGCCTGTGATCACAACTCGACATTGGCTTTAATACACCTGAATCTCCAAAAAGGTGATGGAAGCAAGAGAAATACCGTGAGGGCATTTCTCTTCCTTCACTCAGGTCTGGGCTAGAATGCCAAAGGATTTAAGGGAGTTCAAACCGGTGTCATTTATGATTTGCTGTGGTGATCATCAGAAGCACCTGCGGGCTTCTTCTTCCCTTCATCATATATCCCCTGCCCTTGAGAAAAAGCCCATCGCTGGGTGATCACCAAGTTCTCTTAAGCACAGCACCCATGGAGGAGTTTGTGGGAAGAACGACCCAAAGCAGAGTCCAGGCCCACAGTTGTACTCCCGTCTGACCAAGCAGCAGAGGGAGCCTTGCAAGGCTCTGTGCACACCTGGGCCTGTGCAGGCTCCCTGCCGGCAGCCCTGCGACCACCTGGGGACCGGGCACACGTGCAGACGCTCGGTCCCCACTCGGGACGCTGACTCAGCTTTCTGGCCTGGAGTCAGTCTGTGTTTGCGTACCAAGTCTCCTGCACGGCCCCGATGCTTGATCCATCTGAGATGCCTGCACTTGAGAGAGAGGGGACGGAGAAGCCCAGACCCATGTTCAAAGCATGACAGTGCCTCAGTGTTCAAGGCAAGGTGGGGTGTAAGATGGGCTGCTCCCTGGGACGGACAAGTCGGCCCTGACTGGGGTCCTGGACCTGTGAGCAACCGCAGGCATCGCCGTGAGCAGTGCGTATAGCTGGGCGGGCTCTCCGTGCCGTCACCGGCCTGGGCCCTGCCAGCAGCCTCAAGGGGAACCCCTCCCCGGACCCCTTCACCTTCTGCTCCTGTCCCGAGTCCAGTGCCCTCCAAACTCCCCAGTCTTGAGGCACCTGTGTTGTCCTCCATTACTCTTGTTCTGAGCCTCACTGGGCTTTCCTGATAGCAGTAGCTACTCCGGCTCTCTCTGCTCTATATACATCTACTCATCAGGAAATATAACTGGACAAGGTAGAAAATGGTTAAATGAAAATGGTTAAATGAAAACACATTCTATTAAAGTAAGTGTCTTCTCTGTAGCCAGGAACGGTGGTATACACCTGTGGTTGTAGCCACGTGGAGGCTGAAGCAGGAGGCTGAAACCACACGGAGGCTGAAGCAGGAGGATCATTTTGAGCTCACAGGTCTGAGTCTAGACTGGGAAACCCTTTCTCAATTAAAAACAAAAGCTTTCTCTTTGATAAGGTGGCCTTAGTGGGCATACATTTATTGGCTTTAAATTGTGAATGTCAGAATGGCAATGGAAATAGATTTAATTTTTTTACTGCCTGATAAATGTGATATCTTTTGAAACCTTGCCCAATTCTGCCCGCGCTTTTTAAAAATAAGCATTTTTAGGTTAAGATTGTTGGGTTGGACTTAAAGTAAAACAAAAAGAATTTATTGAAGTCACCTAGAAATACTTTTTTGTTGAAATCAATACTGAATAAAGAGTGATTTATACAAAGTTTTATCATCCAGATTGTATATATTTTTATTGTATTAATGGAAATATGGAATAATGCACCCAAACAACTCCAATAAACTTTTCATGTTTTTATAAATAAAAGGCATGTACACTGAAAAAAAAATGCAATAAATAAAGAAATATTTAGGAGTCACTCAGCCTCGAAACTGCCAGCAATTCAGTATTGTGGGCCTTAGCGAATCCTCCAGCTGACTCAGACTCCAAACCATAAAACCAGCGACTGAGGGACTGGTTGGGAAATTAATTGGATCACTTGCTTGTTAAATGCTGAACTGTGGGAAACTGAATTATGGTAGATAAGGGATGGTCTCCTCCAAAGGAAGAAATAACAGCTGATGTATTAGCACTCTGGAGAGTTCCAAATTATCTCCAAAGCAAACATTTCCAGGTTAACAACAGCTGCTTCCAGAAAAGAAAACTACTGGAGAAGGCCGTGGTGGTCGGGGGTGTAGCTCTGAGGCAGTGATCGTGAGTGCTCAGTGTGTGCAGACTCTGGGTTCCATCCCCAGAGTGGGAGCTGGGGGCAGGGTCATGGCAATGTCCTGGGGCAGGGTCAGCATAGTGCTTCTGGCTTCCACAGGGAACTCACCGATTCTAGCACAGACTCATCTAGGACTGGAAATTCCAGGTTAAAGATGAGAAAATGAACGCTCAGCTCCATCAAATGACTTGCCTTAGACCATGATGGAGAAAAGGCATCAGCCAGAATTTCCCCCAAGTCCACTGAGCCCCCTGACCCAGCCTCTCCCCAGGGCCTCCAGTCTCTTCCCTCTTGAGAATTGACAAGGAGTCACCCTTCCCCACCAGGGCTGTCCTTCAGTTATTTGTGAGTCAGACCTCTAGGAAAGCAGACCGTCACATCGAGAGCTTGACTGTGGCATTTTACCTCCCCGAGGCGACAGGAAGGATTCGGGGCTGTGTGTGTTATCAGCATTCCCCATCACTGTCCATCCCACTCCGGTGGCCGCTCCCTGAGTCCTGCAAAGGCGGAGACTGTGACAGCGATGAAACCAAGGCAGCCGGCATCAAAGCAAACCAGGTTTTCCTTTTATTCAGGTGCTCACAATCAGCCCATCTCCAGTGTCTTTGAATCTGAAATAAGAACCGGTAAAATCCTCTCTCCTACACATTCCTAACACTATTCAAGGTTGGCCAGGTTTCTAATCAAGACAAGCTCAGGAAAAACTGCTCATCAGCCATTGAGGACTGTGACGAGGACTGTGACGAGGACTGTGATGAGGACTGTGACGAGGACTGTGACGAACAGGGTGCCCATCACCTGCCCAGTGGGCACCCCACCTGCCTCCCAGGCCACGAGGCCTGCATCAGGCTGGGGTGATGTGCCCAAAGCCGGGCTCCTTGATGCTGGGGATGTCGTTCTTCCTGTAGAAGTCCGCCTGCACGTGGTTCACTCGGCCGTAGCCCCGGTTCAGGGGCTCAATGGGCTGCTGGATGCGCTTCCCGTAGACAGAGGACGTCAGCACCCCCACAGTCCTCTCCTGCTCCTGGTGAGAAGATTAAAACACTCGGTCAGCGCCCAGTGTCCACCAGCACAGCTGAGCCATCCGCCCATCCGGACCCGCCCAGCGGGCCAAGCAGGTGCCCGCACACCTTCTCGCTGCCTCTACCTGCTCCGCAGGGGCTCCTCTCAAACTACAGCAGCACCTGTCCCCTCTGCCCAGCACCTGTAACATCCCCACACCCTTTAGAGGAACAGCTAAAGCCCTGCACCCTCCACACCACGGACTCTGGCTTCACGTTCACCTTCCTGTTCTGTCCAGTCCCTGCCTGCTCTCTCGCAGCCCTCCTCTGGCCAGCCTTTCTTCCCCGTGGGGGACATGGCTGAACCCTGGGGGCACTGTACTTATTGTGGAGTCACCCATTGAGGAGTCAGAGCTGAAGGCGCAGTCAGGAGGTCACTGGAGTGCGACTTTGTCCCCAGCTCCTCCCTTCTCTCTCTGCTTCCTGGTGACCATGGGGTGAGCAGCTGCCCTCCGCCAGGCCCTTCTGCCATGCCATTTCTGCCTTGGAGCTCCCCCCTAACTAAAAACACGAGCCAAAATAAACCTTCCTCCTTTAAATGTGGGTGCCGGGATTGTGTCCCAGTAATGATGAGACACACCTAAGCCACCTCCCCTGCCTCTTTCTCTCACCAGCCACACAGGGCAGCACTCACCAGCTTTCAGAACTCTCTTCCACCCATTTGCTCTTTCTGGTCTACCATTTGCTCCTGCTGGGGCCTTCTACACTACTGGAGTCTCCAAATGTCACAAATTTCAGTCCTCCACGCACCCCCTCCCCTCCTGGGACCCCCATCACCCTCGCTTCTCTTTCCCCTTAAATGACTTTCTTCTTCTGCACACTGTCTATCACTACCTGGAGCAGGGTTCAATGTTTTTTTATTTTTGTCTCTCTTGTGGGAATGTAAGCTCCAAAGGATAGAAACGCGTGTCATCTTCTTTACGCTCAGCAGCACGTGGGAGCACCTGCTCGCTAATACATATGTTATGCACACATGAATGTGGGAGGCAATAAAAAATGTAAATGATGTGAGCTTCGTTCTTCTCATGAGAAAAGCGCTGACTTCATTTTGGTACATCAGAATGCATTAACATGAGCGAAACTAACAGAAAAATCTCAGTGTCTGCAGCCTTATTGCAAATACTTCGTAGTACTTTCATCACTTAATTTTATATAAAAATACAGAGGGTCTCTGGGCATCATGGCACTCTTTGCAATGCGGGGGACCAAACCCATGGATTCATGCCTCTTAGCCAAGTGCTGTACTGTTGGACCACATCCCTGTTCCTGGCATTCCTACACAATAACAGCCAGAAGCAAAAGTCTGAAGATCCACACAGAAGCCTTACCAGAAGCTTCTGTACTATAGTTAATATTCAGCACCTGACTTTTAATAACCCTGCTGTCCTCAGACCAGGCTTTGTGAACTTGGTGTTTTCAGACAGCAGAAGGGTGCACCCAAAAGGCAGACAGGCCTGACCAGGCTAAGAGGAGACACCCGCTGCAGACCTCTCCACCTGCCGCAGTCCCTCGTGTCCTTGCCCTCCGAGACTGGCTAGTTGTGCTGGACACCCAACTGCTGTGGCTGACTATGGACTGCAGGCTGACTCCTCCCTTCCAGGAAATGGGAGAAGGACAAAAGAAGAGCAGCCGACAGGTGTGGTTCCAGCGAGTCAGTTTCTAAATGTGGGAGAAGTATCTGGCATGTGCAGCTTCGGCCCTGGACGGCACATGTCCTGGAAGAACAGCGGCAGCCAGGACTGCGAGGGTAAGCAGAAACCTGTTTCTTCTGTGGAAAGAGTTTTTTTATTTCGCTCTCCCTAAGTGGTTTCATCCTACAGAACCAAACAATGGACTTAAAAACAAAAATTAATTCACAAATGACATTGCAAAAGAGAGGGAGTTGTAATAGCTTGGTCTCAGCTTCTTGGCACAGTAAGAAATAGGTGAATTGCTTAAAAAGGAAGACATACAAAGCAAAAGAACACAAAATTAAATGCGTCTGTGTGTACACACACATATAATATACACATACGCAATCCACACATATACACACCCCCACATTTGTACTCATAGAAACATGCCAACATGTTACACATACATGAACACATATATACGTATTTACACAAATGTGTATGTACAATATGTGTATGTTTAAATGTGCATGCTCAATATATGTGTACACAGACACACATATATGTGCACACATATTTGAATATATACACATACATGTACATGCACACATAAGCAACACACACTATACACATATATATGTATATATATATATGCATATGTACCTGGTTTTGTTAATCTGTTAAAAACTTGTAGTATTCTACTTAATATTACCTCCTCATTAACATGAAGTCCCAGGGATTTTGCATGTTCTCTGTCATCTCGGTGCAACGTCTGGTTATAATCTAGGCGCCTCTTAAACACACAGTCATAGAGGGAAACAACCCCTGTCTGGGAATAAAGTGGAAAGAAAGCCGTGGATTAATTGAGGGTTGAGCCGTCGGTGTCCGATGGAGTGGGAATGTAGTTTTCTGACTACGAACGTGTAGGCAGAGGGCCCCACGCCAAGCAGCTGCAGCCGTGAGCTGGAGCAGGGAAGCCCAGGCCCCGCCCACCAGAGCAGGAAGCTGAGCCGCCAGGACACAGCAGGGGCATTTCCACAGGCCCCGCCCTCATTCTCTTATGCTCCCTCCTTGATGGATGCGGCCCCTAAAGCTCCATTCCTATCCGACCCGCTGCTGGAGCCCAAATCCTAAATAATAATGATAATAACTGTGTCTTAGTCCATTCAGTACACTACAGAAGCAGGACCCCAAAGACTTGGGTGTAAAACAGAAACTCTACAAGGCGCTGGCAGAGTCTAAGTCTGCTGAGAGCTGCTCTCTGCTTCAGAGCTGGCAGCGTTCACCGCATCCTCCCGAGGGAGAAGGGGCGCACAAGCTCCCCCAGGCCTCTTTTACAAGAGCACAAATCCCATTCCTGAGCGCTCCATCCTCCTGAGCCAGTCTCCTCCTAACAGCGCATGCTCCTAGCCCCACTGTGCGGGGGGCTAAGCTTCAATGTAGGGGTTTGCGCTGGAGGGACAGAAACACTGAGCCCACAGCAAAACCCTCTCTGACTAAGGACGTGTGTGTGTTCCCTTCTCTTTCATTTTTTAATTTCTCAAACCATATAATAAACTTGTGTTGCTTTAAAAACTTAGTAACACCTGAATGCTAAAATGAGATAACCAAACAAGAGCTGTTAGGTTGCTAGCCAATACTGAAATGGTGTCCATGAAATCCTCCTTTGAGAGACAAAAAGATTTTCTTTAATCACATGTGCTAGATAAAACACTTGGAAATTCCAATATATGAACATAAGTTACATATATGTTTATATAGAAGCATATATCACATTAATAAAATATACATGCACACTTCAATTCATGGTATTGGTGTATAAGGAAACGAGCTGATAACAGAACTGTGATAACTCCAGCTTTTCATGATACTTTTTAAAAAATAAATCTGCTTTGATTGGTATTTAGTAGGAGGAAATTCATGCATCAGCGGGTCTTTAACCTTTACCTCCTAAGGCAGACTTGGCATTTGCTACTCCTGCTGCTGTAAATCCTCCAGCAGGAAACCCTGGCGTCTCCACAGAATTTGGGAGGGTCAGACCTCTAACTTACACTTGCTTAGTTTGACTTTACTTTTTCCCTGATAGTGATGCATAAATGATTCTTTCCAAGTGCAGGAAATGAATGTAGAAATAAACAGTGAAAATGATACAAAATGCATGCATAGTGTGCTGGCAAAGGTAGTAAGACACACTCTCCCTGACTGCAGGAACCCCGAGCTCCGGGCAGTAGTGGGAATAGCACAGAGCAACTGGGGCCTCCACCGGTCCTTCACAGCTCACTCAGACCATACGCCAGGTGCAGCACCCCTGCCGGGCAGTGTAGGCTGTAACCTAGAGGTGTCACTGTACTCACGCAACTGACCATGTAGTGAGGGATGCAACCCCACCTCTTAGGATCACTTTGGAAGGATCAAAAGCAACATGATGTGTAAGTCACTTATTCCAACACTGCTCGAATCCTGGTTTGTCTATGATCACAGTCTCTGTCAGCTCAGAGGAGGGAAGTGACCTCCAACAAGGCACCACAGCTTTCACCTCTACACTACCGGTCATTTAATGTGAACACAAGCGCAGCCTTCTCGTCCTTGTCTCCACTCTTACTACTCGGCTTCTAGGTGTGCTTGTGCCAAACCGCGCTGGCCTTCATGTCTCCTGAAGGGATCATTTGAAATAACCCAAGCGTTGCTTGTAAAGCCAGAATCAATGGAGAACTGATAAATTATTCAGCATTTAGTACTGTGAAAATTCCCTAACTCTTTGGGGCTTCACATCCCATTATAGATAAAAGTAATTCTGGATGGGCTAGAAAATAAGTGAAAAAGAAAACCCAGAGATCTCCTACACACAAAAGCAATGAGAAAAATGTCACAAAGAAAACATCAATCACTTTCCCTGTAAAAGTAGACATTTGCTTATCAAATAAAACTAAGAGGTTTCTGGAAAAGCCTTTTTAAAGGCATGACAGAAGCACTTCAATATCCTTAACACATAACGTGGGGAGTCTGCTGATGCAGAAGCTTAGGGGCTGCTGGCCTGTGGAAGCTGAGCAAAGCACCTTGGGATGAGCCAACAAAGGGCCTCTGTGAGACAGAGAAAGTCCAGACGCACTGTGTATCATGTGGAGACGACAGTAGTGAGCTCTGCAGAGTCACACAAGGCCTTCTGCAAGTGAATGTAGCAGGGCCAGATCTTCCCCATTGATGTTCAGAGCCACTGGCCAGAGCCAGGTAGGGCCAGCAAGGAGACAAGAACAGTTACTCGCCCCCATGACACTTAGATGTAGCTGGGTTCCTGGTCATAACTTAGCACCAGGCATTGCAGTTCTCTGGACCTGGCATTGCTCCCGGCCTGGCTCATCTTATGTCATGGAAGGTTGTCGGGAGATGAGCCAGCGTGCAACATGATGAACAGGATTTCCACGGCTCGGAGTCACCCTCTTCTCCTGCACCCTGAGAACCTGGTGCCCCAGTAGGGGGCACTGGTGGCTACTACAAACCCCACCCTGCTCTCTGTGGGTGAGCAGCCTCCCCGAGGTCAGTGGACAGCCCAAGCAGAGGGGCGCAACACTGAGGTGGAAAACAGATCCTCGGGCCTGCCTGGGCTGTGCCTGCATCTGCCCGGCCCTCATTCGCCCATTAAGCCCCGCCCCTCCTGGGGTCGGGCTTGTCCTGGGGAGAAGGGATTCAAGGAGACAAGAATGCAATCACCAGTCCTGAATGAGAAACGGAATGCACTGTGCTTTGTCCTCTGCCCCAGGAAACCCAACACCACGCACAGCTGTAAAGAAAAGCTAGCCGTCTCTGTCCATTCTCATCCCGGCTCCTGAAACACGTCGGGGTGCCTGCCCCTGCGCAACCCCGGGGGGGGCGCCCAGCACCAGCTACATCTTAGTCTTTATTAGGAATCGGCTGCTGCAGGGTCTGGAGAGAACAGAATCTCAGATAACTTCGTTTTGCATGGACTTTGCATATTCACAGCTTTCTAGAGTGAAAATAAACTTTTCTCTCATTGAAAATTAAGGACAAAGAGAAAGAAAGTCATTATCAGGCAGGCAGCCTGGCTCAGAAAAGTGACTGTCCACTTCTGACTTCTAATCACAATGAAAGTGTGTCTGTGCTAGGTTTTAATTATTCATCTTTCTTCTTTAATTCCTTTATTACTTGAAGCAAAATGAGATTACTAAAAACCAGTTGGGATTTAGATGCTATCACAGAACAGATCTAAATTACTGGTATCTTTACAGTTTAAATCTTTCAAGGAATTATCCGTTTCACACACGCTATGTTTCAGAAAAAGCAAAACAGAAAATCTGTATGATTTTGTTGTGATCCCCCCTTTGTCCCTCTGTTTTTAGCACTGCTGCCCGCTAGGCCTGGTGCTGGACAATCTCCCACTCAGGGAAGGGTGCCCTCCTCAGGTGCCCCCGCCCCTGCTGCCGAGCGCTCCCGCTCCCTGCAGCCTGGGCCCGGTACAGATGCTGCAGGTGAAGTTGAAGCTAGGTGATGGGCCCTCCCTGGAGAAAGTAGGCCCTGGGGGTGTGGCCTTGACCAGTCCATAGGGACCCCGGCCCTGTCCTCTCTGCTTCCTGTCCACCAGGAGGGGAGCCACTTGCCTCGCCCACGTGCTCCTCGCCATGATGTTCTGTGTCATCACAGACCAGAAACAACAGTCAAGTGACCATGGACTGCAATCTTTGAAATCATAAGCCAACACAAATCTTTCCTCTTTTAACTTGATTTTTGCAGGTATTTTGTCATAGCGATAAAAAGCCAAGCAATGCATCCCCCCCCGCCCCCCCCACTTCTGGGGCCAACTGCAGGAAACTAATTAAACACAAGTTCAGAGAGATACCAAACAAAAAGGAGCTCTCCTAAGCAGGAAAGAGCAGGCTCTGGGCCTGGTCTCCTGGGATTCAGGTCATTTGTTCCTGCAGTGCATCCTGGTTCACCTTGACCAATATGGAAGCCAACTGGCCTGTGATGAGACAATGCTAATTCTCTCTCTTCACAGAGCACAGGCTGTCACCTCCACACGGTGTATTTCAGTCACTCCAGCCGGGGCCCGCGTGGGTGCCATATGAGGAGTGGACACTCTAGGAGCCGGGGGCCAATAGAAAAAAGTGGGCCACACGGATGGCCCTGAAGAGAACATGGGGACCTGACTTCTTCCTCTCTCTCCACCATGAGGTGAGCCACTTTACTCTGCCACACCTCCCCACCGCGATGTCCCGTCTCATCGTGGGCTCAGAAAGCAGAAAACTGAAAATTCCCCAGCCTGCCCAAAAGAAGAGCCTTTTGTACTTCTGATAAACCCAGTCTTTCCTTGGGAGTTAAGCAATGTGTGCAGCTCAGCCAGAATACTTCCATGAACTTTAACAGCATTCAGGACCCTATACCTCAGAGGACTACAGCTTATCAAGGACAAGATGTTAGCATTCTTGAAAGAACTATGCTTAGCTATTCTCTTTGGTTTGTCTGTGGAGAAGATTCTGTCTCCTCTCCAGGTGCATTAGTTTGACAAGCTTTGGGAATTTGTACAACTTTTCAAATAACCTGAATATGTTACCCTTGAACTGAAGTCAGTAGATGGACTCCCTGTGACTTGTGTTTGTTCCATGATGTAGGTGTGCTGTGATTCCCAGAGTTCTGCATCGGTCTCTGGGGCCCACTTGTGGCCAAGGGGAGACTGGGTGATCATGGAGCTCATTATGTCTCTCTTCTACTGATAGCAGCCCCACTTACGCCCTGTCCCCAGCAATTCACATCACAGGCTGACACTTGAATCTAATCCTACATGCACCCCCTTGTCAAATCTTGTTGTGGAAAATG